AATTTTGAAAAATGGGCGTGGCACCGCCCACTTATGATCACATATATGTATCTCGGTAACTGTTCTACCAATTTGTACCAAACTTGGTGTGGTGATTGTGCTTGTCACATAGAAGAAAAACGTTGAAAATTATTGAAATCGGACTAAAATTACGACCGCTTTTCATATAACGGTAAATTTCGGAAATGCTTGAAACTTCAATATTTCGAAATTTAAGGACGCTGATTTACTCAAAATTGATACACCGCGGCTTACCAAAGCCGCGGTAGCTTTCGGAAAGGTGAAAAACATATATGTATTTAATACTTGCGCCGGGTATTTAATGTTCGGCTCCGCCCGAACTTAGACTTTCTTACTTTTTTTTTTAAGTAGTTGATAGACACTATGGCCAATGGTAACCATCAGTTAGGAACTGTACAGTAAACGACAGCTACAGCCCCTGCATACTTGTTTAACCAAAAAGTTGTGCACTGAAAATACCTTCTTTTTTGTATCATGGAAATAACCTTTAGTTTGTTATTGGATGTGAGAAATATGTATGTAACTATTTTGTTGGCAGTCCTATTGCACATCCATAGAGAACTGTAGGGATTCCGCCAGGCTAAGCAAAGTCTTATCCAAGGAACACACCAGACCCAACCTTATTTAGGGAGAAGACGGTACATGGACAAGGACAACGGAGGAATCACTAGAGGCCCTCATAAACACACCTTTTTCGGCTGCGATCAGAGACCAAAACCATGGCCTCACACTAATGGTCATCAACTCTCAAAAGAGCTACTCGACTCAATCGTAGATAAGGATACAGGAGCCTATAGTATCCTGACTGGAAAGGGTCTACAAAGCCAGTATCAGCTTCACATACATTCCGAAAAGCTGTAAAAGAGTCAAAGTTGTCTTCATTCCCAAACCGGGAAGAAGAAATCACGAAAAAGCAAAAGACTTCCCACCGATAAGTCTTAAANCTGCATACTTGTTTAACCAAAAAGTTGTGCACTGAAAATACCTTCTTTTTTGTATCATGGAAATAACCTTTAGTTTGTTATTGGATGTGAGAAATATGTATGTAACTATTTTGTTGGCAGTCCTATTGCACATCCATAGAGAACTGTAGGGATTCCGCCAGGCTAAGCAAAGTCTTATCCAAGGAACACACCAGACCCAACCTTATTTANTTAGGCTAAGCAAAGTCTTATCCAAGGAACACACCAGCCCCAACCTTATTTAGGGAGAAGACGGTACATGGACAAGGACAACGGAGGAATCACTAGAGGCCCTCATAAACACACCTTTTTCGGCTGCGATCAGAGACCAAAACCATGGCCTCACACTAATGGTCATCAACTCTCAAAAGAGCTACTCGACTCAATCGTAGATAAAGAAAAATTTTAATTCGCTATAAATAATGCTCCGGAAATTACAGGAGCCTATAGTATCCTGACTGGAAAGGGTCTACAAAGCCAGTATCAGCTTCACATACATTCCGAAAAGCTGTAAAAGAGTCAAAGTTGTCTTCATTCCCAAACCGGGAAGAAGAAATCACGAAAAAGCAAAAGACTTCCCACCGATAAGTCTTAAANAATCACTAGAGGCCCTCATAAACACACCTTTTTCGGCTGCGATCAGAGACCAAAACCATGGCCTCACACTAATGGTCATCAACTCTCAAAAGAGCTACTCGACTCAATCGTAGATAAAGAAAAATTTTAATTCGCTATAAATAATGCTCCGGAAATTACAGGAGCCTATAGTATCCTGACTGGAAAGGGTCTACAAAGCCAGTATCAGCTTCACATACATTCCGAAAAGCTGTAAAAGAGTCAAAGTTGTCTTCATTCCCAAACCGGGAAGAAGAAATCACGAAAAAGCAAAAGACTTCCCACCGATAAGTCTTAAAGGCTTTTAGACCTACATATAAGGCATCTTCTGAGAAATTCCAAACTTTCCAAAGCTCAACATGCATATATTAAGAGCAGCTCAACTGAAACTGCCCTTCATGAAGTCGTGGGCACCATAGAAAAATCACTCCACTCTTTGTAAACAGTACACTTTGGCGGCCTTCCTCGACATAGATGGGGCCTTCAATAACATTACAATCGAAGCAATTGTTCTATCTCTTGTGAAGGTGCGAATATCTGACCCATTGGTTCAGTAACGCTATAGCATTATGCAAACAGGCACTCCCCAAGGAGGAGTTCTGTCTTCGCTACTATGGGTGGTAGTACTGAACGACATTCTATTGGATCTCAACAAAGGTGGAGTGAAAGTAGTAGCGTTTGCAGATGATGTAGTGGTGGCGGTATCAGGTCTCTTCCCCTCAACGATTAATGAAATCCTAGATGGAGCTTTACTCCGACGAAACACCTGAGCTAAAAAAAGTGGACCCTATCAAGATGGAACTGATGCTGTTCACCAATAAAACAAAAATACCACAATGCAGGCTTCCCTCCCTTAATGCAACGACTCTCACATTGTCCCCTGAGGCTAAATACTTGGATGTCGTATTAGACACCAAACTGAGCTGGAAGACAAATATAGAGAGGCGGGTTGAGAAAGCCTACACAGCTTATTATACATGTAAAAGAATATTCAGTAGGAACTGGGGATTGAAGCCAGTCCTCTGGATGTACTTGGCTATCATATGATCAATACTAACGTATGCGACGTTAGTTTGGTGGCCAGCACTAGACAAACAACACAACGTCAGGAAATTAGGCAGTATAAAAAGAGCAGCTTGGGCAGGTGCTACAGGAGCCATTAAGTCGTGTCCATCTGATGTGCTTAATGTGATCCTGCATCAACTGCCCATAGAGCTCCACATCTGCGAAACTTCTGCGTCTTCGGCAGTCAGACCGAAAAAATCAGGCTGATGGCGGGCACTGCAGTACGGTCATAGTGGTATTCTTCACAAGCTTATCGAATAAGGGAAACAATCACATTATATACCTCCTACTCAGGCGACGCTTCTACCACCCAACCAACCCCTTTTTAGCCCTAAAATCTTTTTAATTAGCTGTTTTTAACACTTTTCTTTTGTCCATTTAGCTGCATGGCTGAAAAAATTCTGGCAACACTGCTCATTTGCATACATACCTGTTCCAGAGCTGTTTGCCCTTTGGTATAGTTTCCGGTTGCTCCTGTCCCAAAAAGCAGCGCAAACCAAGCAACGAATTGTAGAAGTACTCATGCCAATTTATTGCGACCATATTGAAATTGAATAAGCTTTGATCAATGCTAGAGAGTGAGTGCCACAACTTTATCGTATTTTCCATTGTAAAGGTGAATTTATTTTCGACAAAGTAGTCGAGTACCGCAGTTTGCTTGTGGATTTTACGATATGTGCTCACCATTCTGTAAAAGTGTAAAAATGCATTCTTCTGATTAATAAAACTCTTCACTTTATGTACTTACATTTGCACATACATATGTAGGTGGACAACTAAATAGAGCCGGAGACTTGTTCGAGTGAGTTATTTGCAATTTCGTATTGATAAAAAGTTTGAATTGTTTCGAGCTCTATTGCATACTTATTAGACATTAGGTCTAAAACGAATGTGTTGTGCAATTAGTTCTCCACCTATGTATGTTGCTTTTTATATGAACTTGCATGTTTAAGTACCTTCTTTTCTTTCCCATCAACAGGAGTATGAAATCGAAAATATATCCAGGAATTATGTGGTAGATTAATATCAAAATATTATACAATAACTTTGAACTGACGATTATTGCGAAGGGAAACCAAACCATTTTTGTAAGTGGCATGCTAGGTGCATGCTCCTCCAAAGTTCGTCGATAAGTATCCCATTTTAGCATGTTACGTTCATCAGGTACTAGATTGTATATTGGGGGAGGTTGAATAAGCCTGAAAAATTTACTTTTTTTTAAGTCCAACTCTCGAGTCGTTTGAAATAAATAGTTTATATATTTAAGAGTTAAAATACATATATAGAAAGCTCTTCCTGTTAATTGGGATTCAACTTATTCTTGCGAATTGTTTATAAATTTAAATATGATTTATTTATTTTTCAAAGTGGCATAAGTCATTTCATGCCGTATGACTTCAGTGCTCATTTACTTGTATCTGAATGTACATATGTAATTGTTTTATATAGAGGTGGAGAAAACATCGACGGCACTTTCGAAGCATCGATGTTTTTGCATATTTGTTAAACACCGATAGTTTTTGACGACTATCGATGTTGGAAAATTGCTACGTAAACGAGCAGGGTGCACGAAATTTCATCGGCAAAAACAAATTTTTACAATTCGCGCCTAGTTTGTTTTCTATGTAGAATTAGAAGGACGATAATGGAAACTGATTCTGACCTTCCTTTAGATTTATGGTTTTTTTCTGGTCAAAACGAGTGTATATTATGAATTTCCCCAAAATCGGATAACATTTACCATTTCTGCCTACAAGAGCTGTGGGCGGCGCTGCGCCTCGATTTTACCATTTTCAAATCTTACAAGTTGTTTATTTTTTAGTCACTTCCTTCTATCGCCAGAAAAAGCATTCTTCTTGCATACATATATTTCAATCAGTGGAGTTCCAGAATCAAGTACAATAAAAAATAAAGCAAGAATTTGAACAATTCTAGCTAGAAAGTACCGAAATTACTCCTTTTTTCACTTTCACTCAAAAAAATCACAATTATTTTTATTTCAAAAACCTTTGTGAAGTTTTCAAATAGAATGTTCATATTAAAAGCAAAGAGCGCTGGCACTAAATTCAACATATCTGCGAAGTTTCAAGAGTGTGCATTAGGGTCCAAAAACAGTAAAGTCGGAATTGATCTGCTCTTAACCCCAAGGATTGTTCTATATCGAAAAAAAGTATACCCCAATTTTTTTTATTTTGAAATCAAAAATATATTTAGAGGTCGCTCAAAGCTCTCAAAGTTTTCCATGTAATACTTTTTTCGTAGAAATGGTATAGAATTCTTGAAAGTCAATATTTTTCGATCGGAAAACTCTGGTTCTCTTTAGGAGACTTTCAATAATAATACCCAATTGTTTATTTAACCATTTTTTAATACTAACGATTTTTTATTGATCCCCCATTGCATTTTTCCGGGTTTTGTGGGTTTTGGGTGGACCTATAAATTGTTGTTGCAATAAAAAATAGATAAATAAACAATTGAGTACTATTATTGGGAATCTCCTACAGATAAACGGAGTTTTATGATAGAAAAATATTGATTTTTAACTATTCAATACCATTTCTACGAAAAGTTGTTTTTTCTCCATATAAAATACATGCAAAACTGTAGACGCTTTGAGCGACCTCTAAATATTTTTTGATTTCAGAATAAAAAAAAGTATATTTTTTCGGTATAGAACAATCCTAGGGGGTGAGAGCATAAAAATTTCCACTTTACTTTTTCACATGCATTTTTGGACCACCCTAGTGTGCAACCAAATAAAAAAATTGCAGCATGCAGAACATCTTTCGCAGCTATTTTGCAACTTTTGAAATTTTACGATTTTTGATTTTAATAATTTTAGATACTTAAAACTGTTAAAATAAAACGGTGAAATGAAATTACGTTGAGTAAAAGCCGACTACGATTTAAGAAACTAAAACTCCATTTTTACAAATTTTTACTGGCACACTCGTAATTCATTCTAAAATTGTTATAAAAGCAATACTGTGTAAAAATCTCCCATGCGAATATTTAATTACTTTTAAATAATATTACTTTTTAGTGGGGGTGTTCGAGTAAACGTGTTAGATAACTGCGTGTGGTGCTATGGGGCGTATACGTTACGTACGCAACTACGGGTATAATAGGGGAATTCGCTCTTATGTGTATTCGTTGTATGTTGTGTAATCGTAACTGCATGAGCGTGTGATTTGTTGTTGCTAGAGGTACATCAAATATACATGCAACAACAACCACATGCTCGTCCAGTTACACTTACGCAGGATACAGCGAATACACAGAAGCGCGAATACCACTAATATGTACTTGCATGTATTTTTACTGATTTTAGTTTATATTATGCATTTAAATACTATTTCGCGTTGCAATCTTGTTCCTTATACAAAACTGAAGATAATGCATTTTCTAAGATAAGTGTGCCTCTGTTTTCGACCAGAAACACGTTTTCGTCAAACAATGTAACAACCCGTGAGATTTGCTCATATACGAAATTTCAGCGAATTTATAGTACGGTTACTACTTTTGGCTGCCGCTTATATGAGGACCTCCCACTGTGTAACGCACTCACTACAACATTATAATTGTACTATAAAGTGTTTGAATTTACTCACAATTTGTTTACGGGTTTCGCCGTATTCCATGCTGAGGCCAACATTAGATTGGCGCACATATCGACAGGCACGAAGTTCGCATTTGCATCCAGATGTACATAGAGAACGCGAAGTATACCATGCGCTACACCGAACAAAATGCTCATGGGTCCATAAAGATTATCCACCCAACCGGTCAAGGGTTCACTGTGGGTGGGTATAACTACAATATGCACATACTCATATTAATATTCTGTACTCAATGCTATTAAGTTGTAGAAAAACATACCTATGCCAGGCCGAAATATGCATATCGGTAGTTGCTTTGCTTGCGAGAGCACAGCCTCTTCCGCCAAAGCTTTTGTAAAGGTATATGTGTTCGGCGATTTGCCACACCATTCACTTGTCATACTATTGGTTTTATCTGGGCCCAATAACTCGGCCACTTTGCACATATTTTCAGCAGTTATTTTCAGCTCACTTGTATAATACACTTCATCCACGTGGAAGACAGTGCAATTCGCAAAGGCAGATGAAACGTGGACGAAGGATTCTAGCTTAGACATATTTTTCGCCAATTTTATTAAATCCATGGTAGCGCGCACATTTATAGCTAATGCATTGTAGAGTGGTTCATTAAAGCGGACCGTAGCTGCGCTGTGTATGACTATTTGAGTCCCATCAATTAAAGTTTGGCGATCAGCTGGTGAAATGCCCAAATTGGCCAGAAGGCAGTCACCCAGAATCGGTACTATACGTTTTTTTGCCGATGGTTTTTTACGATTCAACTCGGCAAACAGCTTTAATTTCAAAACAATTATGTAAATGTTTGTACTTTTGTTTTATTGCTTAATATCAAATTTACCGGATTTTTGAACATAGCATCTATGCGGTCTTCAACACTTTGCTCCTTTTTGGGGCGTATTAGTATGTATATACATTTTACTTCTGTGGCACGTAATATTTTTTCAATAAAAACTAAAAGCAAAAGATGGAAGAGAAAAATTATACATATAAATTTGTTTACATTTATGTACGGGTATGTAAGCAGATTAACAAATAAGCAGCGTGCCAATTTGCTGTATAATATGTTTGCGGTTAAGCATGAAGAAAATAGTTAGGCGATACACAACAATTATCATAATGGGCCTCATGCATAAAGATAATTATTTTTTCTTGGCCCCCGAAAAACCCCAAAAAAGTGCAATAAAGGATTTCCAAGGATTCTATACAATTTCTATTTAGATGGAAAACTTTGAGCGCTGTGAACCTTTATATTTTTTATTTAAAAAAAATATGGGTATATTTTTTCGATTTAGAACAATCCTAAAGGGTGAAGTCGTTAAAATTTTTAATTTACTTTTTCGCATTCATTTTTTTGGGCCACCCTTATCTACATATTAGCATTTGCCAGCGTATCCGCCCGCATGATACGAGTATGAATAGAATGTTACACCTGAATCTCAATCTGCTACCAATAACCGATGCTCTTACTATTAAAATATTTCATTTATCTTGCTTTTTAAATTGAATCTAACTTTTTGAGCAGGTAGCAAACCTCTTGGAGTGTATTTTTATATAGATACATGCATACATAAGTCATTATTGAATCCCTTCCTTTTATTTATTAATTACAGGTGACAACTACCTTCAAAAAATATCCTATATGTTAATACCTATTAGGGCTGTTCAGAATTTTGTGGAAATGGTCTTGAATTTGCATTTCGAATTGCATTTGAAAATTGTATGCTTGCTACCACGGCAACCGTATGCATTTTATTACTTTGAATTTACAAATGCACCGAAATATGCAAATGCAAGTTCAAATGCACAAGATCCTCAACAGCCCTACTATAACCTATCTGTGTGCAAAGTTGCATGGAAATACGTTCAGCCAATGTAACGTGAAAGAGCGAAAAAAAATAATAATCACACTCACTTACAATCTTTCACATTTATACCAAGAAATTGTGGAACGAATATCTAAGAGTATGCCGGTATTAGTCTCAAACGAGCACAATTGAGCATTAATTAATCGCAACTAGTCTCATACGGGCATAATTGGAGATCAAGTAATCGCCAACTCATCTTTAACGGGTACAATGCAGTGTCAATATTCGAATTGCATCTACCCTGCAAAAAATTTTGCGACTTTACTCTAAAAAGGGTATTCCGAGATTAAGCTCAATCGGGTACGATTGGGCATTGATTAGTCGCAACTACTCTCTTACGAGTATTACTCGAGATCAATTAGTCGCTCAACAAATTTTTTGTTTTTATTTTTTAAAAGTGGGTAGTCGCTTTTTATACCCATTCGGGAATATAGGGGACCTATTAGTCTCCTCAACGGACATGCTCGAACGAAAGCGTTTTACTCATTCCATATTAAGAGATCAAAAGTGATATATTGCGCACGAGTCATCCTGCATTAATTGCATTTTTTGTAGGATAGCGCAGGCTTTTATTTTTATTTTTTAAAACCGACTAGTCTAGTAGACAACAATTAAACTCCTCGACGTGCTCGAATAAAAGCGAACTGTTCATTCCATTTCGATTTCTGGTGAAGTGATTCCGGATTAATCGCATTTTTGCAGGGTACGTAGATAGCTTTGTCATTAAAATGAGTTTTTATAGCCCTCCATTTTTAGTCAAAATAATATGGCTATTAGTTTGACTTACTAATCAATTATGTGCTCACTTAAGAGCAATAAAATTTTAATTAAAGAACATTTTACAGAATAACTTTNAAGAGATCAAAAGTGATATATTGCGCACGAGTCATCCTGCATTAATTGCATTTTTTGTAGGATAGCGCAGGCTTTTATTTTTATTTTTTAAAACCAACTAGTCTAGTAGACAACAATTAAACTCCTCGACGTGCTCGAATAAAAGCGAACTGTTCATTCCATTTCGATTTCTGGTGAAGTGATTCCGGATTAATCGCATTTTTGCAGGGTACGTAGATAGCTTTGTCATTAAAATTAGTTTTTATAGCCCTTCATTTTTAGTCAAAATAATATGGCTATTAGTTTGACTTACTAATCAATTATGTGCTCACTTAAGAGCAATAAAATTTTAATTAAAGAACATTTTACAGAATAACTTTCTATAACAAGTTTTTAATGTTAGTTTGCCATTAAGATTTAAATTCCAATAAATTTTCAAATTACTTGGGTAATCAGAATAACTTATTTGAAATTTCAGAACAGTCTAAAAATTATTCCACTCATCACT